TAATTATTGCGTAATCTGGAGATCTTTTTCGGTGCAGATGAAGTTGTAACTGAAAGACAGTAACACCCGAGAGTTTTAAAGCTTCACAATGTATCGAGGCCTTGGNAGTAACACCCGAGAGTTTTAAAGCTTCACAATGTATCGAGGCCTTGGGAGTCTTTAACCTACTCATAAGTGATCCTATTGCCAAATTATTACATACACTGCCAACAGGAGATCCACTGGTTGAATAGAGTCACATTCCCTACAGACTGCCCGAGCATTCCAGATACTTATCCGTAAAGCATATTCCATGTTTAGTTTACGTTGTTTATTTAGTCAAGTCACTTGATTTGTTTTATACGTGTCGGATGCCAAGCCCAGCTCACAACCCGTTACTGGGAGGGGGATTTTTAGCTGCGCATTTATGTAAGACAGACGCCAGCTGGCAGTTGCACTTACTGGTGAACAGATATTGCTGCTGCGTTGGCGCTTTCTGCGGTGATCTAATGTCGGGTAGAGGAATCTGTAGAGCATATTCTATATCCTTATTTCTTAAACTAAATAAACTTGGAATGATTTAAGAAAGGGTGATTTAATCATGACGTAGACGTCGCATTTTCAGTTTTTTTTTTTTTAATTTTTATCATTTATTTACATCTTAATTTATAATCAATTTTCAAGATAATCATTAACTATTTAATAAAATTTATATTTAATATGTACTGCATCAAATTTCTTTGCATTTTTTTCTTGTATCACAGCGATCTAATCTAATGTATTAAAAAAAAGTAAAAAATAAAAACAAACCATAAAGGTGGACCAAGCTATAAAGGAAAACGCAATCAAAGTTGACATTTACTTTTACAAAATCTGCACTACCGAAAATTAATTGCGGTCGGCATTGTACATTTTAGATTTTATGGTGACCGGGCAATAGTAAATTGTATAATGCCATTGATGATCATAAACACGCTCTTATGTATGTACATTACATATTTATCATTTGTTTCACTCTAAGGCTCTATTGGTGGCTACGTTCAGCTCCTGCCGTTACAGTTATCGACATTTATGAACTGTAAATGATTTAAAAGATAGGAAAATGGCATGATGCAATAAAACAAGGTGTTGGACGTTGTTACAGCTAGCATTTGATGCTGCCTTGGCGTAGTAGAATAAGAAGAAAAACGGGAAGAAATTAATCCCCGTTTGGGGGAAAAATATAAAATTTCATATTTTCTTCTAAACAAATTTTGCTTTTTTTATAGCATATTCGTAATGAAATTAAATAAAATAAGATAAAATACTTTTTTAAGAAAATAAAATGCGTATACCGAGAAACAATATTATAATGCAAACAACTGTTAAAGAAGTAACACTGTTTCACCTACAGAGGTCAATATGGCGGAATTAGAGCGGGAAGCTGCCAACATCCAACACCTTGTATTATTGCATCATGGTAAAATGGTATGTACTCTTACATCAATTTCGTTTTTATGTTAACTTATTTCGAGCTCATTTAATAAAAAACAAAAATTATTATTAATTTCTTCTACTCTGTGTGGTGACTTACAATGGCAAAACTATAACGTTTGAGGACAGTTTTTATTTTTACTTAAGACTAATCTCTCTGGATCGAGTCCCAATTTTTTCAGTGCATCGTAGATTTTCGTTCGCACCTCTACCGGGAAGTCACGATCTCGCCCGAATATCCATATTTGATCGGAATATCCAATGGATCCTAGACTGCCACAAGACCAGAGAATAGCAAAATTGTCATAGTCCGTGTAGAGTACCTGATATTTGCCAGAACCAGGCAGAAGGCGGGCAATAACATCCGGGAAACGAGAGTTAAACTGTGTGTTGAGAGAGAGAGAAGGGATAAAAAAAGAGGGTTAGTTTTATTTATTTATATTAGTTTTAGTTCATTTTAGTTACGTAAAGTTCAGTTTGGTTTAGTTCATTTTATTTCAATTCCATTTAGTTGAGTTTAGTTTGCAATAGGTTACCTTAAAATCCATAATAGATGACCTTCGATTCTCCGGTGTCGCTTGGCCCAAATTGACTGAAGGATTTCCGGTTCTATCAAAAAATTAATATATTAATTGTACGTAGATAAAAAAAAAATACAACATGCTACTTACAGTCTGTTTATTGTTTTGATTGCCACTTCGAGCTCAAAATTACTAGATTTAGACAGCTTTTCTTTATTTAAGGGCTGGAATTCAAGCAGCGTGCAACCAGAAGCGATTTCGGGTAAATAAAATGATCGCTCCACTTCATACCATTGACCGAGCACCTAAAACAAAAAAAATAAAATAAAATTAAAATATATTTCGTAAACAGTCGTGTGTGTAGGCCGATAAAATAGTCCGGCGAACAAAAACGTTTCATATCGGAATAATTAAAATTAATTAATTGAAAACGGTTTCACGAAAGCAATTAAAGTAAAAAAAAAAATCATCAAACAATTTTTCACTTAAATTGCTTTCGTTAAACTGGCAATTAAGGTTTGAAAATAAGTATCGGTAATCGGTAAAAAAATTACCAAACACCGTAATCGGGCCACAGAATTTGGTACGAATTTGTGCCAGTACAAAAAAAAGTTATATATTTTCTCTGCACATTGACCACCGAAAACTACGGATAGTTTAGACTTGCCATATAGGCTATACGCTTGAAACTTCCTTGAAATAAAAATGCAATTTTTCATCATTAAGTTACACCTAGAATCCTTGGCTGTTGTGATGCCGCGTTGAGAAATATTAACATCGATCTCACCTAAAACCAGTTTATGCTTCCAAAATTGCCCTGATTTTGCTAAGTTTACCTAATTTAGTTGAAGAAAATCCTCGTCCAAGAGAACAAATCTAGGCAAATAAAAGTATGGAATGCAATTGTCACAGGCCGGAATAATGCAAAACCGATTTTCCAAGCACTAATGCACACATTGTTGCGCATTATATATATTTAAGCCCATAGAAAGTAAGAGGTGGATGTTTGAAATCGTTGCAAAATCTTAGACTGCCGAAGAACGGAAAGCTGCAAAGAAAAAGCTCTGTACTATACTCATCATTCAACGGTGCTGTCAGAGCTCGAGACTCACTCCTTCTCTGTGTGAGAAGAAATTCTACAACCACATTGTCTGGACCTGACAGTTCCTACTAAGATTATGCTAAGAACCAAAGCTGGTCAACTCATCAGCCAGTTGAGGTCTGTTCCATTTTATGACAGAGTTGAGCCTTAACATTAACACATTCCTGGACAATTCGTGAAGAGTCACGAGCTGTTTACCAACACTAAGGAAGCTTATCTGTCACGGCTGTCGATTAAAACAGCCGCTGCCGTCATATTTAAAGCAGAAAAGCATCTGAAGTTACCTTCTAGGTGTCATCCAAATCCAATTCCTTTTTTACAGCCTTGGAGCCATAGGGATAGTAAGTTTTTTTTTATCGAGTTCCAAGTAAGTATTTAGATCTCCCCTGCACTTTCTTTCTATTCTGCTGTAGGTTTGTCATTTAGGGATGTATATTTGATATAGGTGGGCGGCCTCATACATTGTACATACCTATCTACCGAGTTTGACCTAAACAACCCTCAAAGATGTACCAATGCAGTCTGTTAATTTTTATGATGTGCTGTTAATAGAGTTACTATCAAGGCACATTAAACAGGTAGTATCAGTAGAGCAAAAACAACATTTGCGTGTATTTTGTTGTTGCTTCTGGTATCGAAAGTGTCAAAAACTGTTCTGAATTTTTTCTACTAAATCAAAGCGTGCCATGTAAAATACAAAAAATTATAAAAAATAATAAATTGAAATTGGAAAAAATAAAAATTGATGCAACTTTCTTTCCTAGTAAATTTGTTTGCTTCTCGAAGCATTGATCCATCCTTTGCAAGGCCCAGTAATCAGCGGTCGTGCTGCTGAGTTGGGCGAACATTCCAAAAGCTGCTATTCAATCGCTTGTGTTGTATGGAAAAAGGTTTCACATGCAAATGGATTTTAACAATTCAGAATTTTTGTGAAAAAAAATTAAAAATATTTGACATTTTCGAGACCAAATAATTTGAAACTAAATCAAATCAGCTGCTCTACTGATACTACCTGTTCAATGTACCTTGGTTACTATATAGTATGTATGTATGTATTTACAAACAAAACCAAGTATAAAAATAAAATTATTTGGTAAATCTTAAACAAACGACTTCAACTTTAGACGCGTATCAAACGGTTCCAATATTATAAAATTGTAGTAGCATTACATAGTTATGTATGTATGTATGTACTTTTGCCTCCGGGGCTTAACGCAAAATATGACAAATCACAAAGCAAAACAAAAAATGTTAACCAAACACGGCGAGCTGAGGTGAGCGCAAGCGCAAAAGTTTTCGCATATTCGCGCCAGCTTTAAAGTGTGAATTATTGTTCAAAAACGAAACTGGTTTTTGTACAGCAATAAAGGAATATTATCTTTAATATATGTATTTATTTACATACGTATGTACATATATTGCTGAATAGAAATCGATGCTAAAATTAGTTCAAAGTCATAACATAACGGGGAGCTGTAGAAGATGATAAGCCAGTATCTTCAAGTAATAGGTACTAAAAGCACCTCACACGAGTGTTCCTTTCTTTTTAATAATAGCACTATGAACACTTGTTTGCATAGCTAAAATGCAGATATGTATGTATGTAAATATGAATGTACAGGTTGGGACAAATAAGACTTACCAATGTTAAACACGTATAACTTACAGCAAGACCAGAAACAAAGACTACAATATGCTATTCTTTTTACACAATTAGCCACACAAATAGATTTTTTAGGTAATGTTTTGATTTCGGATGAAGCGCATTTCCAAGCAAAACTGTGCAAAAATACACCAGCACCAGTTACATCCATCCAAATGCACGGTGTTTCTTCGAGAATGGGGATGAAATGCTAGAAACGATTTCTGGGACTTCTTACAGAACAATGATTGACGACTTTTTGCGGCCAACGGCAGCGCAGCATCCTAATTTGTGGTTCCAACAAGATGATGCGACTGCGCACACTGCTNGTTCATGGTTTTGTCGATTTTTAGGGCGTACATTTTTTATGATAAAATCATTTTCGAAATAAGCTTTCGAATATACATGGATATTCTTATTCTCCTTTCCAGCCTCTCAACCGAACTCTGCGTTGCTGAACTATTAATTCCCCATTTTGATAACCAGGAGAGGCGGGCATCCTATTTATCTTTAGCTGAATTTTGCTTTTGCTCTGTAAACATTTTCCGTTCTCGGCAATCAGATGATTTGACACGAAGGATATGGGGCTTGTTGGACACAGGATGATTCAGATTAGATTATATTAATATCGGAAGCCTGTGATGGTTTTCCCCTCAAAAAACTAATTCGTAATTAATTTGATGTGCCAGAAAATTGCATATATCTCAGCCAGGGGGGAAAAATATAGTAATTTAGAAGTCTGTTGGACTCTCCAAAAGATAATTTCTGGGAGAAGGTGCCTGATCCTGTTTTAATGTCCATTTTGAAGCCATCTGTGTAGATCGGGATCGTTTAGCAAGATATTAGGAATTAGCCCCTGGACCATTCCTTTCTGCCTAGACTGCCGTATCAGATAATGCGGATTGTAGAATCTCACTGACCGATGAGATGGACTTCCCTTCGATCCAGAACAACTAAGTTATCTTCAACGCTAAAACTTTAGTGACTTTCGATGTGCGTAACATGAATTCGTTTACTACGAGGTTCTATGGCAGTGGAGTCAGAACTCCCCTTTGAGGGGTACCTCGTGCGGTTGTGTAGGCCACACCTACTTCATCTACTTTTCAAGGTGCATTTGATGCTTCCTGTACTTAACATATGGTCGATCAAGAGAATGATCAGCTGATCCAGTTCTACTTTTATGATAACCAAAATTGAATTTAGACGGGGAGAAAAGGATATAATTGAATTTACTTTGACTGGGAAGTATTTTAGGCCAATTATGTTAAACAGATATACATTAACTTAATTCACAAAGGCCCTAACCAGCAAATTTTTTAGTTTAAAGGAGAAGCAAAACCTTATAAAAAACATTATAAAAAGAAAGTCAGATAGGGATTTTTAAAAAGTGGCATAATTTTGTTGCTTTTGCTACTAACACTTAAAAATGTTTATTGAAGTAGAGTTTCGAGAAAAGTGTTGGTTAGGGCCTTTGTGAATTGAGGTAACGATATATAAAAATGTAGTACTTAAAATATCAGTTGAATGATTATAACACTTAAAAGTTGAGTTAGAACTAAAATAGTCATGAACAAAACTTGATTTTGGCTGTTTTTTTGGTTTGGGCTTTCGAATAAAGTAAGATATTCCAAACTTATTATCGACCCAGTCTAATGTACATATATAAATATGTTAGTCCACATACAATACATACTTACATCACCATAACTGTTTTGCTTCCTGTCATTTAAATTGACATGTTGACACTTTGACATCAAAGATCTGCCACCGCGGCGGTATTTGATTTTAAATTAATTATATGTGCATGTACATTAGGGCGGGTCGAAAACCACAACATGTTTGATACGAAAATTGTATAGGCCTTAAAAGGTGCTTTTTTAATCCGTTAAATAATAAATCCTGGTTCTCTG